TGAAGGCAGCGGGACCCCTTGGGGTCTGAGGGGACTCTGGGCTACGGGGATTCTTCACACATCCCTGTACTAAAGAGTTATTGAACAAAGCATGTTAAAAACTTCAGGAAGGAGGGCAGGAATCCATGTCTCCCCTTCCCAACAGAGTGCTCTGTGCCAGCAACGTGGCAAGCTTTGATTTCTTTTTCTTCTTTTTTGGCCTGCAACATCAACTTTATTGTCGAGCAGCCTGAATGGTTTCTGAAAGGCAGAGAAAGACCCGCCACCTTCTGTTCTCTTCAGATCCTTCTGATCTTTTCAGATCAGAAAAATCGTCCAGGCTGCCCTGTGACAGCATCTTGCATGAGGGTGACGTTAAACCAAGCCAGGTCATCTTGCCTTACGAAGAGCTCTCCAGAAACAGCTGGAGAGCTTTATTTGAAGGCAGCTATGTGAGCTATTTAAGAAATCACCCTGGTGGCTGAACCGTTGTCACCATTTCTGAGTACTCCCCTTAGCCGTGCTGGCTATTCCTCTGCTCCCTCATGACCTCCTTTTCATTTCAGTCTGAGGTGTTTGAAGTTTGGAGGTAGAGGGAATGAAGATTGCCAGGCTCCATAGGAAAATCCTCGTACCTCAGACTCAACCCTTGCTGCTCAGCACGGGGCAACAAGAAAGATGCTAAAGAAATAAGGACTCCTCCTTTCCTTAGCACATCTGTCCAGCTGTGCATCTGCTGCTGGTGTCATTGTTTTCCAGTAAGAGCCTCTAGCTAAGATGTCTGTCTCCTCTGCTGTACCCTCCAAGTTTGCTTGCTTGCAAGCTGGACAAAAGTTGGCAATGCCTGGCCTAGCATTCTCCTTCTGGAGGCTCGTATGGTGTTAAAGCAGATGTAGATAGAGGACATCTCTAACAGGTAAAATCTGCCCTTTTCATGGAAGCCATTTTTATTTATATAGGAAGGGGAAGAGCAAATATTCTTACTTAACATTTAAGCACTTCCACTGTACTGGTGTAAGGCGCGTCCCGTCAGGCCAGTGAAACTGGCTTCTGTATTTGTTAAAGCAGAGCTGCTTTTGTCCCTTAGAAAGGTATTTTGCCATTGGGAGGCATCATCACTTTTTGTGTTGCTCCACATGGGGTAAAGAATGTGAAGGAGGGATGCTTGACAAAAAATACCCTATTGACACAGCAGTCTTTTCCCATCTTCGGAGGAACTGAGTAGAGAATATTGCCAAACTCCAGTAAATTTAAGTGAGCTGCATTAAGTGCAAGTTGTACATACGCATCTTGGGGCTTCTACAGTCTGTTTCCTGCTTGGGGCCAGCAGTTCCTCTCCAGCATCCAGCTTCCCGAGTCTCTAGCCGCTGGCACCTTAACAGCCTTCTACAGAGATAAAAATATATTCAGATCACAGCAGTTCCCTCCTGCCCCTCCTGCACTGTTTGGGAGGGATCTCCTGTGTGCTTGCTTTGGATAGGTTAAAAAATTAATGCTTAGATGCAGGTGCTCATGTAACTGTCGTCACAGAGCAGTGATGGGCAGGATCTACATCTCTGAGCTGAGGTCTTGAGTCAGTCATGTCTTGTGACTGAATCATAAGTTTGTCTTTTTACCATGTAGGATCTGAAGAACATTGCTAAAGTTTTGAACCTGGACTCGCAAAGCTCAGTATTGTTGTGCATGCATAAGCACCTAGAAAGGAAGAAAAAACCAACCACCCTGTATTTCCAAGGGTGCCAGGTACTTGGATCTCCCAATGAAATCAGTCCACTTATTTTTTAATTTTAAACTGATTTCAGCTGATGGGTGAAGATGTCCTAGGCATTAACCACTCACAGAGGAATAAAATACTTCATCCAAGTTGTTTGTACGTTGCATTTGTTGATCTTGGTGAATTCAATAGCATCTTCCGGATAGTGCTGTCTAGTGTTTGAAGTATATGAGATGAACTCACGGTGTATATAGAGAAGCAAAAAATGCCGGGGTATAGTAAGAAGGCATTGTTTTAGCCTTATGTATGACATTGTAATCGTATGTTTTTTAATGAACAGACCAGGGTAGTTACACTTAGTAATGTTTGTTCACTAAAAAGGAAAAGGGGTGTTAAATCATTGTGTTCTTTGATGAATAGCTTGTACACTGAAGAATAAATTGAACAAACTGGCACAGAGCTCAGTGAACATGAAATCAGCTATTAGAAGAAAGCTTGTGAACAAATTCTGAGCCTGATATGCATCTTTTGATTAATGTCCTATCAATCATCCATAGTGGCTACCTTAGCTAAGTCGTGCTGTAATCATTCATGGTTGCTTACAGGAACACTAGCAGGGACTATAGAGCTGCAATAACTGAATATTATTACGGATTTCTCCCTAACTCTTGCTGTGAACAATTACTGTTTTCACTACGTTTCTGCCTCCCTTTATTAAAAAGAATACAATGCAAAATGAAAAGAGAGTTCCTCAAAGACCAGTAAAATTCTCCCAGGGTATTCTTAATGATATTCTGTCCTAAATGGGCAAACTATTGTAATGCAGAGTTCTCACCAGGAATAATAGTAATGTAATCACATTGAAACTGTCTCTTTATGGATTGTAGTCAAACAGACAAAATGTATAGTCAGATTAATGAACACAGAATTTCTGTAGAATTATTACTTAAAATGGCGGAAATGATTTTAGCTCTTTTTGTATCACAGTATTTTCAGTTAATGCACTTAACAGCAACAGCAATTAAGACTCCAGACTGTAAATTTGGATTAAATCCACCCTTTTGACATTAGAAGAAGCCTTGATTCTTAAAAGGTACTCTGTCTGCACCCCTCTCTTTTAAGACCTAATGTTTTAAATTTGTATGGCTCTTCTGAATTATGGTTGTTCTGGGTTTTTTTAAGGAAAAAAAAATCAATGAATACACTTTCTGTTCTTTTTTTTTTTTCCCCATGATTGTAAGTTATTGGCAAATGTTTACAGGAGAATCTCATATTCCTGTGTGTGAAGATTTAGTTCCACACCATTTATTTCTCGAGTGTGACACGAAGAATGCTTTGGCACTACCCACAAAATAGGTCCTTAGATGGCAGTGTAATTTCCTCCGAAGCCACTGTAGCCTGGGAAATACAGTGAAGTAATGAAGTGTTGACAGGTATTAACATGCATAATGGGCTTTAATAGACATTTAATGCTGTTTAACTGGAAGAAGGAGAAGTGCTTTCCCATTGGAATATTTCTACATTGAAACTCATTGATCACCAATTTCAGAGGGGAAAGGTTAATCCATCAGTTTCTGTAACCAAACGGCACTGATGGCAATTCTTTAGGTGACATTCTGGATGAACTGAGCTTTCCATCTTTGCAAACAAATGAGTGATATGACAAGCATGGTGTTCAGAACACATTTAACCAATTGATTTTCTCTCCTCTTGTAATAAGATCTAGAGACATATGAAAGAGCGTAGCATGAGCCAAGATTAAAGGAACTGCTTCATACACGCGAACATAGGGGAACTGCATTATCAATAAAAGTACTATAAAGCATGTAGGCACCCATTCTTTTTCTTTATATAAAGTTTGTTATTGCAATAAATAGTTGTTATTGAGCTGCTTGCCTTTTATTTCAGTTTTTCTGAATTTTATTTCGGTCGGCTTTCTGTGATTTCCTGGTAAATGTTAGAAAAAAACATTATGTTTTGTTATAGTATCATTTTTGCACTCACTAGTAAATCCAGTCTAACTCTGGATTTAAAAGCCGGATTTATCATCCTTTGAGGCATGAAGAGAGACATGAGGGGGAGGGACTTGACCACAATTAATGTAAATATATAAAATATATTTAAAATGTTTATTCTGTATGGTTCCGTACTGTGATGACCCTCATATTTTCCTTCCTCTTCCCTCCTTTTTCTCCCAAATTCAGCCCTGCTCTGAGTTTCACATACCCTCCTACACCGGTATCCCTCCAGCAAATGCATCAGCAAATTATAAGTCGTCAGCAAACTCTAGGTTCAGCCTTTGGACACAGCCCTCCACTCATCCATCCTGCTCCAACTTTTCCTACCCAGAGACCTATCCCTGGCATCCCTAGTGTCCTGAACCCTGTCCAGGTCAGCTCTGGACCTTCTGAGTCCACACAGGTGAGAGACAACAAAAAAAACCCCTTTGCACCCCATTAATTTATGAAAAGATGAAACAAATTACATTGTCTTTATGACAATTAATCACCACTGTCACTGAGACCCTTCGATAACAGTTTTCTTGCAGCTATAGCATTTGCAGTCCCTTTATTGTAAATCACAGGGGTATATGCATGGCTCCTGATTGGTGGCATGTTTTTTAGTCCTCATAAGTATTTTGGTGTGCTGCAGCAGCTTCTCATGCCAACCTGTCTCTCCTGGATCTTATACAGGAACATAATACAGGTAGGGAGTGAGAAAAGGGGGGAAACCCTGTCAAAACACTAACATTTCAAAGATTAGCAGCTTCACCTCCAACTCAGGCTGACTATAAGATGTGCGAGCTCAGATTCTGCCATCCTGACACAGGTGTGAGTAAACCAACGTGAGTAACTCAATCTGTGAACGACAGAGGAACTCAAAGATAGTACAGAGATCTGAAGGTTTTTTCTCTGATTTGTGCAAAATTGGACTTAGTAAGTTTGAATTAATCATTTTGATAAACCAAGTTGTATTCTCAAAAGCTGGCGATGTGCAGCAGTGAATCTGGCCCATAATGTGGAGTTTATCATGGTTCGTGTTTTGCCTGTTATTAACTAGTGCTGTTTGTTTCCAGATGACCTGGGATAGGTTATTTATCAGTCTGGGAGCCGTGTGTCTCCCGACTAGCTTTTACAAATGTAGAAGCAGAATGTAACTGCTGTAGGAAGCATATTGATTTTTTTTTGTGGGGTCCATGCAAGTTCAGATATCTCTAAAAGATCTCTGGATTCCTACAAGATCCATTTGCAGGTGTAGATAACGGTGTTCAGTCTCGCAAGCAAGAGAAAAACAAGATTCTGTTTATGTCAGCAGTAGTTTTGCTCTTGACGGGAGAATCCAGGACTTCATCTATGATGTTTTGGCTGAGGGTTTCACACTAATGCTCAGTTTTTCTTCCTGTCCACCATTGTAATGGGAAACACAGGAATAGAGCTGAGGTCTTGTGTGCAGATGTTAAGTGCAAAACCTTTCCTCCAAGTGTGAAAGAATACATCTTTTTCTCATGTTGATTCAAACTAGTGCGCAGTGATTTCGTTTTTCAAAATTGCCTTTCTGAAGTCATCATTATGTGGAAAAATGAGTTCTTCCTACCCCTCCCTTGCCTGACAAAACCAGCATCGGTTTGTAGCAAGGAATTACATCAAAAGCCCTCCTTCCTGTTCCCTCCCTGCTCCATTACAAGGTTGAATGATGCAGCTCTTCCACAAGTTAATGCTATGTAATTGAAGCACAATGTAATTGCATATCCAATATAATTAACAGTGTAGCTTCTCCAAATAAAGTTGCTGAGCAGATGCTGCATATTTCTGTTTGGAGCTACATATTTATCACAGTCTAATTTTGTCTTTTTTGGGGAAAAAAAAAAAAAACAAACAAACAACCCTGCCTGCAGCAGAATAAACCCACAAGCGAATCTGCAGTGAGCAGCACTGGAGATCCCATGCACAACAAGCGCTCCAAGATAAAGCCTGATGAGGACCTCCCCAGCCCGGGAGCGGGAAGCATGCAGGTATGGCGGTCAGGATACAGTCATAAGCCTTTGATAAGATCATAGAATTGTTTAAGTTGGAAAACACCTTTAAGATCATCAAGTCCAACCATTAACCTAGCACTGCCATCCCACCACTAAACCATGTCCCTAAGCACCATGTCTACATGTCTTTTAGATACCTCCTTCCATCTCACTTCCAGAGGGAAAATGGACCTCACCTGTAGCATGTGTTTTCAGGCTTTCTGCCCTCCTACAGCCCTTCATCACACATGGGGGGCCTCAGCTCATGGTAGAAAGGGTTAAACGTGGGCAGTGAAGGGCTGCTGAGTTGCAGGGCTGTGTTGCAGGAGGAGGGCAGAGAGGAAGGGAGCTGACGGAGAGGCGCCTCTGATCAGTCAGGGCGTGCTCAACCCTCTGTTCACCGTGCAAAAGCAAACAAGAGACGTTCAGGTCTTTTTTGAGGACGTGTTTTCTCTTCAGCAAGAATATTTACACCACGTTGACTTTTACCAGTCTTAGCACTGTACTGCACTGGGGCCTCAGTGTCAGGCTCCAGTCTCATTTGCTATACTGTCTACACCAGTTAATGCCACTGGTTTTAGGAGGATAACTCCTGATTTACAGTGTCTTGGGGGACATGAGAATCAGAGCCTCGATCTTGAGTGAATCCATGAAAACAAAGCAGAGGTCCGTCTAAATCCTTCAGCAGGTTTGAAATGGAAAGAGCATGAGTGCATAATCTGAACCAAATGTTTATGCTAACATCTGACCCTTACCCCGAGCACATAATGAGCTGGGCAGAATGAGGCACCTTGAGGGACTGAAGGTGGAAAGTCAAAATGCAAAATTAAGTACTCTCTTCTCCTGCTCACCCCTTTCATGCGCACAGTACAGGCAAGAACAGGCTGGCAAGTAGTCTGAGAATTCCCCAATTACCAAAATTTCTTCAGAAGGGTTTTTGTGGGCAAAATTGCCACTGGGTTAACACTGAAAACACACCTTGGATTACAGGTGATCCATTTTGTGTCTAACCATAGTACTAAAGTCAAATTCCAGTTACTTCAACGATATTGAATTGTGCCCTTTTTCACTAGTGATGCCACTGAATAATAGGGGTAAGTGTGCAAATGAAGAGGTGCTTCAATATGGGGAAAGGGAACTCAAGCCTTTATGATTAGCTTTGAATTGAAATATAAAGGGATTATTTTTATTTTAGAAATTCTCTGCAGTGCATACTTTTGGGGAGGAAAATTTTATTTTACACAGATAGTCTGCAAATGGCTTCTGGCTCACCAGGCCTGGTTTGGGCTTCTGTATTTTGTACAACCAAGTAACAGAGTGAACAGAGAGTAAAGTAATCTACGCACCCACCCCCATCTTTCTTTCAGTGCTGAAATAATTCACTTTTCTTCCTTCTCAGTTTCAGAATTTCCTCTCTCCTTTCCTCACCCCTGTTTTTTTCCTCTCTTCAGGAACAGCCAGAAGGAATGACCCTGGTAAAAGAGGAAGGGGACAAAGATGAAAGCAAACAGGAGCCTGAAGTGGTCTACGAGACAAACTGCCACTGGGAAGGCTGTTCCCGGGAGTTTGACACGCAGGAACAGCTAGTGCATGTAAGTTAATGGTATTCAGGAACTGGGTTTTAAAACTGCGTGACCTTTTTCATGGGGGTCGGGTTCTCTGACCCTGTGCTGAGTCAAGTTTCTTAGCTAACAGCGCTGCAAACTGGAGAGGGGTTTATGAGTTTCTGAGAATAAAGAAAACTCAGAGCCACAGTGCTTGACCTGTTCAGTCAGCTAAAGCTTAGTGTAAAATTCAATAAAGTCTTCAATAGAGATTGTAATGGCTCTGATCCTGTAAGCCAGCAAACGCTATTTTGAGTTAGAGACTTTGATAGTTATTGAGTAATAGTAAGCTGGACATGAATTATTATTAACCTTTAGCCAAGTTTGATTTTTTTTTATCTCCCAAAAGGGACTGTAATAGTAGAAATGGGCAAGGGGAATTCTTCCCCTTCCCTAAGGGGGTTTTTGGTATCAATTTACTGTTGTGTGTAAACTGAAGTGGATTATTTGGCTAAATATGTGGAAACTGAGTTATTTCAGTCTTTTTAGCAAAAGCAAACTGTATGGTCTTGTTTATGCTACCCAATGTTAGTCATATCTGCCTTGTTTTTTCTTCCACTCTACCACTTCTCCAAAATGTGTGGTATTGTAAGCGAGAAAATGAACTGTCAAAATCTAGAATGTAACCTGGCAAGCAAAATCCCCCCCCCCATTTCCAACCTGCTTAGCTAGCAGCACCTCTCTTTAATTACCAGCATCATAGAACATATCTAAATACTCTGCAAAAAAAGGAATTGCTAGTACAGATTAGAGAGGAACATCTTCAGCAAATGATCAGTGTGTCAGAATCCTACTTATTTTAGAAAACTGTTTAATACTTTCCTGGAGGTCATGCAAAATCTATTGCATGATGTGACCAATGCTACTGAAATAGCTTATTGAAAAATGCACTTTTCCAGCCAAAATACATAAAAAACCCCTGCCATATATTTCTAAACACTACGCAAAATGGTAAACTGGTGCTGCAAAGCTGACTGTAGTAAAGCAATGCCAGCTTTTACTTCCTGGAGCCTGAGAGCCTCTTGGTGTTGCAGTTATTCATCAAGATGCATTTTCAGTTTCTTACTAAGTAGTAGTAGAAACAGTAACAATAACAATAATAACAAACGAAAGATGATCATAAACTAAAATAATGGCAAAACTGTGACATTTTTAAAGAATCCTTTGGACGTATTTTGCACAAAAAAATACCCTAACATTTTAATAGGCCAAGATGAAATGTGAGGAGAGACTCTTTCAGTGTCATAATATCTTTTGGGGAAGAAATGCCATACGAATGGCTGCTGCAAAAGCCTGGACACATTTAAAAGATCAAGTGTGGGTCTTGCAGTTGATTCCGTGCAAACAGACCGATTGACATCATCTGAGGCTCTGTGCAGGCACAGTCTTTATATCTGCTAGTAATTGTAAGGCTGAAGCTTTATGATGCCTGGCAAACCTTTCTCAATATTCAGAAATGATCCCAGTGATGATGATAAATAATTTACACCAAAATATATGAAATAAAAGAGAAATTCAGAATAAAGGTGCCCTTGGTAATGAAAAAAAAGGAAGAGGTTTTTTTGACATTTCAGACATACAATTTAATTGAATTCTACAGTGCTTGTTAGCTAATAGCTAATGTTTTGTAGTTTCAGGTGAATTAAATTGACAGTATAATAGTTCGGTTTGGTTTTTTTTTTAAAATCCATTTGTTGTTTCTGGTGTGATTTTTGTAGTGAATCTGACTACTATAAGGGTCAATAGCAAGACTCCTCTGAAAAAAAGTGTGTTTCATATGTTTCTGCACGATGGCAACATCTGAAATGAGTTTCTTTAGACATAAAGAAGGCAGATAAAAAATGTTTCTATGATACATGGAGCTCTTTTTGACAGGGCTCAGGATTCAGATATGTTATGATGGCATTTAAGATTACGAGGTGCAAGTTCTGACTTGATATCCTGAAGACAATAAAATCATCATCATCATTGCACCCATCACATTCAAGTAGCACGAATCATGCCGTAAGAGTCAGCGTGACTCAGTGATGGGGCCCTGGTTTGTGATTTCTTTTGCTGCTCCGACAGAGCCCTGCTGTGGGGACCTGAGTGAGTTATTTCTGTCCAGAATTGCAAAGGGCTTTAGACATCTAACTCTGTTTTCAAGTCTGGCCCTTAACCCTGGTCTGTCTCTCCTACATTTTGTCTGCACTTGATTGCCCCAGCCCTCTGATGTACCCCTGCAGCACGTAGGGAAATGAAGTCCAGGTCTCAGTAGGGCTTCGCGGGAGGGCAGTTCTGGTTTTATTTTAGGTGACTGACTCCCTCAGAAAGTGGTAAGTCCCTGAGTAGCAGCTCAGCCCTTGAAAATCTCCCCACTGATGTGGCTCATGTGTACCTCCTACCCAAATACTCATGGTTAAGTCCGAGTAGATACAAATTGCCATAATTTGCTCTTACTTCAGTGTCTTTGCACTGGATGAGTTCCTGACTTGGCGTGTACAAGCATGCACCTGAACTAGGCAGAGAATATGTGTCTCAGTGGTGTGAGTACATCCTTTACTCACTAATATTTACACTGCAGTAGCAGCTGGAGGCCTTGTCAAGCCCAGAGTCCCATGGTGCTAGACACTGCCTAAATACAAGAGAAGGAATGGCCTTGATATGGGCATGAGGTCTTCACCCTGCAACTCTGGAGCCGCATCGATCTGGGTGTTGATGCTGTCTGGAGGTACCTGAGCTAGCTCGTATACCTGTAGGCATGCAGCTAGGATCATGCTATGCTTCCCAGCCAGGCCAGGGCTTTGCAGGGTAATGGATATTAATCTTCAAATCTTGCAGCAGAGCTCTGCCACATTGCCTCCCCTGGCCGCACGCGCTGCTGCTCTGCGGGTGATTCCCAACCCGCTGGCAGACTCAGCAGAGCCTCAGTTGCTCCAGCTGAGTTTAAAGGGGGGTCTGAAGTCAGATGCCGGACTGCTGTCTGGGACATCAAAAGTATAGATAACCATCCTGTTTTGTTGACTCTACTGTGGGGCAGTAATCGTCAAGGCAGGGGCAACTGGCACAGATAAAGGCAAGAAAGGCTTAAGTTGCGCTGGCAGGACTCATCCAGATAACATCTGCAGGCTTCCCCATGTTCCCTGAGACTCAGAAAGGGTGATTAGCACGAGCAGAGACCTACAGTCACGTGTTCGGAAGTTGGGTGGGTGTGATACAGCACGACGTGTGTGGTACTGCATCGTATTGTGTACACACACCTACTTGCCCATACTATGGGTAATCAAGCAAACTGTGCAGTGAAACCTAAGTGAGCTATGTAGGCCTTCACAAAGGATTGCAAGAAACACCTTCTCTGTCACCCACTTCATTGAGTACGTGGTATGTAGCATATATACAGTAGAAAAGAAAATGTATGTGTATATTTGACTTGGAAGTATTTAGAGTATTCTTTCACCTATATAACTCTCTAAACTGGTTCCCTGGGCTTTGGAGGTTCAGCTGGGACGAGGAAATTTGTAAAATGCAGAATTTTGGGGAAAAAGACCTAAAAAGCATTCTTGTACATCCTGATAAGGCAAATATTCAGGATCTACACAGGCTAGCAGTGCCTTTTAATGAATGTGGGGTTTTTTTCCAGGGAACAAAGCTACTGTTTGTAGCCATACATAATAGTAAGGTATCAGACCCAAAACGTGCAGTGGCACAGAACAGACTGTTATCTGAGCCTTGCATTCCAAAGCACTGGAATTTTAGAGGAACTGCAGTGTTTAGGGAAAAGATGGAAGTATGTTTCTAGCTGTTTGTTTTGTTTCCTAAAGGGTTAGGTAGCTCAGCGTGAATTCCAGTCGCGCCAGGTTGAGCAGAGCTCAGGAGAGCTTTTCCACAATACACATTGCGCACAATTCACAGAATCACAGAATCACAGAATCGTAAGGGTTGGAAGGGACCTCAGGAGATCATCTAGTCCAACCCCCCTGCTAAAGCAGGCTCACCTAGAGCATGCTACACAGGACTTCATCCAGGCGGGCTTTGAATATCTCCAGAGAAGGAGACTCCACAACCTCCCTGGGCAGCCTGTTCCAATGCTCTGCCACCCTCAGAGTGAAGAAGTTCTTCCTCATATTCAACTGAAACCTCTCGTGTTTCAGTTTGCAGTTGAGCAGAGCTCAGGAGAGCTTTTCCACAATACACATTGCGCACAATTCACATTGTAGATGTCATTAGCCCCATCGTGTATAGGCTGTATACACAAGCACACGTGCATGAGTTTTGAAAGGGACAAATACGAATTTGTGTATATTCTGGCCTTTCTGCCACATGAGGATAGCTTTATTATCTTTTGGGGAACGATGAGACCCGATTTACTTTGAAATCAACTGTAGGTGAATCAGATTCTAGCAATACCTGCGTTACGATGTGGTGTGTGATACAGCACATATGAAATGGTAAATACAAATATAATCTGTGTCTGAATATGTGGTATAGCTTTGGAGCAGCAATTGCAATCTTGAACACAATAGTCAGCATTTGATGGCATTTTTTCTGCATTACTTTCTGTAGCAAAGTCTGGCTGTTATTAGTGTAAAATGTGGGTGCTAGTGAAAGTGTGCTTAGGGCCCAGGAGACAATGTTTTCTGACTGAATTTATGAGCAGAACCTGGGCTGCTATGAATAAATAACTGAAAAGCTACATAAAAGAATTGTTATTGACCCACCCAGAAGGGTTTGACACCGCAATGATTTTGGTGTGGGAGCTCTTATTTCCAAGCAATATGTGCCACTTAGAATTCAGCGTGGTTAAATTTTCATGATACATACACCAAAAGGCAAGGTGTTAAACCATTCAGACGCTCTGCCTTATTTATAGCACCTATCCATCCTTTCCCCCCCCCTCCCTCTCTTACAGTTAATAGAAAGATTCATGATTCTTCATGGTTGTCTATCTAGCGTCTGACAGTACCGACTGCCCTGCTAAAGCAAGTCACTATCTATAATTGATATCCTTC